AAAAAAAAAAAAAAAAGTCCTTACACACTTAATAACTTATCCTTCCGAGGTGGCGCAGTGGTTAGGGTGCAGTACTGCAGGCCACTTCAGCTGACTGTTATCTGCAGTTCAGCAGTTCTAATCTCACCGGCTCAAGGTTGACTCAGCCTTCCATCCTTCCGAGGTGGGTGAAATGAGGACCCAGACTGTGGGGGCGATATGCTGACTCTGTAAACTGCTTAGAGAGGGCTGAAAGCCCTATGAAGCAGTATATAAGTCTAACTGCTATTGCTATTGCTAGATAGATAGATAGATAGATAGATAGATAGATAGATAGATAGATAAGATAGATAGATGATAGATATAGATAGATAAGAGCCGAGATGGCGCAGTGGTTAGGGTGCAGTACTGCAGGCCACTTCAGCTGACTGTTATCTGCAGTTCAGCAGTTCTAATCTCACCGGCTCAAGGTTGACTCAGCCTTCCATCCTTCCGAGGTGGGTGAAATGAGGACCCAGACTGTGGGGGCGATATGCTGACTCTGTAAACTGCTTAGAGAGGGCTGAAAGCCCTATGAAGCGGTATATAAGTCTAACTGCTATTGCTATTAATGCAACCGTCATAAATGTGAACCAGTTGCCAATCATCTGGGTTTTGATCATGGGGCCATAGGGATACTGCAGTGGTCATAAGTATGAAAAGCATTCATGTCACTTTTTCAGGGCCATTGAAACTTTGAACTGTCACTAAATGAACTGTTGTAAGTCAGTGACTACCTCTACTGGTGGCACATTTTGAGTTGTTAAGTTAAAAATAAACTCTCATTCTTTTTACTTCCCCCCCACTTACAATATCTCTTTCCCCATACACATATACATGCAAACAAATATACACAAACTATTTAAACTAGATATTTAGTGTATCCGAACTTAAATCCAAACTGTTTGAAAAGTAAATAGACGCAGGGTACCTATTTTCATACATGGTGGTTATGCCCGAAAGCTAAAAAATATTGGACTAAAATACAAAAATGGTTACAGGAAATTACAAACACCCAAATAGAGCTCAAAGCAGAATTGTTACCTCTGGGGATTATTAAGAGAAAGTATACGAAAGAGATAAAATATTTAATTTTGCACATAATTGCAGCAGTGAGAATAGCAGTCGCACAATGCTGGAAAAGGGATACCATGCCGACAGACTGTTTGATAATCCAAATGATTCTTGATTGCGCAGAGATGGATAAACTCACATTGTAGTTAAGGGACAAAGAAGACTCAGAATATTATACAATTTGGGAAAACTGGTATAAATGGATAAATAACAGAAACGTGAAATGTACAGCTTAGAAACATAGATGTATAGATATAGGAATCATTAGGAATGTATAAAAGTGTATTTGAATAACAAATGCTTATGCTAGTCCTGTCAAAAAGGATCGTAATTTATACAAAACTATTTTTAAAGATATTTGTATTGTAATCAGAAGTGGGTTCCTACCAGTTCGCACCTATTCGGTAGAACCGGTTTGTCAAATCTACCGAACTGGTTAGAAGAGGTTCCACCAGTGGACCCGGAAAGCA